TAAACATGACTTCTTACTAAAGTCTCCAATTTTAATCCATCACTCCTCTTGCTGATCATTTCCCCTACAACAGTTAGAAGTCTAGTTTCCACCATGTGCCCCCAATTTGCTTAATTGTTCAATTTCTGTATGCATGCATAGCAGTAATATGTAGAACAATCATAATTATTAACCTATAACCTCATGGAAATAACTAGACTACAATACTTGTGGGCAGTTCCTTTACCTTTAGCCTTATGGACTCCATTCATTTCCAGAGTTACTCAGGTCAGCACACCTGAGTCAGTTGTTCCATTCATGTGTAATAGAGTTACGATGTTAAATTCATTCCATCTTGGAACCATCGACTTTCTAAGGGATTTTTTTAAATTGCATACATTAAGGTTTACTCTTTATCTTTGATGGGTTTTAACAATACGTAATAGTATACAGTTACCATTACTCTATTGGTATGTCGTCTCAGTAACTAGTAATTGGTACAACGTGGTTCAAGGCTCCAAGGGTGCAAAATACTTCACGTTTTCTTTCGATAGCTTGTGCAAGTAAGCTAACTTGTGGTGAACACATAATTTTCTTCTGAAGGACTTGAACCTTTATTGCATGTCAAGTAATACTCTAAGCACTCTAAATGGATTAACATTTTCAATTATTCTTTGAGATAAATTATAGCCATGTTTCATATGAGAACAGAAGGCACATAGGGTTGAAGTATCCAACAGAATTCCAGGGATGGATTACCCAATTATGTAGGTAAGCACACATCTAAAAAACCTAGGGCAACAATAAAACAGAATACCAGTTGTCCAAAGCAAAGTCTCACAGATGCCAAGCAGACAGGACACAAGGAAAAGCAAGTGGAAGGGAACTGACAGGGCACTAAATGAAACTGAAACCAGCTCCCGTACATGCAAATGTGCCAGAAAGAGAGAAAGTTCACATCGGGTCACAAGGGCACCCAGGGGCAAGGCTGTTTAAGCTATGAAGCCCCTACTACTTCAACACCTTCACTGACATCTGTCTCTTATGGTCCTCTCCCATGTAACTGACATTCCTTATGCCAGCAGTCTCTTGGGGGTACACTATTTCTTTCTCTAATAAACAAGAGGTAGAGGTGGGTTGTCGAGTCTAATTTTTGCTACATACACCCAAAATGCAACTAGATCCAACATGAGCAATTCCTGGGCAAGGATGAATTATATATTAATAGATAACAGGTCTCTGATCCATTTTCAGAGAACCATTTTGCACAGCCACGTCTACTGATCCAGCAACTCCAGCCAGGAAGGCCAGCAGTGCTCTTGGCTGTGATACAAACACAAGGGCATGCTGTTGCACACGTCCCAGTAAACAACCAACGGCAATCCCAGTCACAGTTGACACACAAACATGAGGGAACTCGAATAAGTCAACCATTGCAATGAATTCAATCAAGTTACTTTTTAACTGTATAGCACTTGTGTACAGTTATGTCCTAAGTTTGGAAATATATTTGGCATACAGGCAAACACAATCTAACGCAAGTTGATATACTACTAACATCGGTAATAATTTAATACTGTGAAATATTCTTTTTGTAGAAAATGTAGTATATAGTAAAAATCCTAATACCCTGCATCCATTAAAAATTTTATAATCCAGTTCATCTCATTCTACTAAAATGGCATACTCCACTTTTGCATTCAATTGCTACTATCATAGTTGCATTTAAAAAGGCGTTACATCATGGGTAGCTAAGACACACACACACACACACCTATATATATATATGTATACATACATAACTCACACATTCCATTTGAATGTATGAGTAAGCAGAGGGGGGACCACAAATATAAGTGCTTAGGGCCCTCACATGCCTTTACCTTGCCCTAATTCACGTTGTTGTTATGTGCTGTCACCTCAGACCCAACCCACAGCGACCCCTCCTTGGGTTTCCGAGGTGGTATCACTACGGAAGTAGATTGCCCCATCTTCCTTCCGAGGAGTGGCTGGTGGGTTTGAACTGCCAGCCTTCTGGTTAGCAGTCAAGTGCCTTAGGCACTATGCTACCAGAGCCCTAATTCATACAGAAAGTAAATGTCAGAGCCAGGATTTGAACTTGAGTTTGCAGACTCAGATCACATATGCTTACACACTAATCATGTCTGCCCACCCAGGGAGTACAAATAGTAACAGGTCACAGGGAATCCCAAGAGCAAAGGAAGAAAAACTTCAAAGCAGAGGATGTGAGCTGAATCACCAACAATGTGGCTAGGCCATCATTCTTGCATAAAGCAGTCAGTATTATACAGGCCTAACAAGTCCTTTTGAGAACTGGGATCAAATCCCTCCTATAGTTTCGAGAAATAGTATTTATTTCCTTCCTGTTAGTTCATCATCCCCACTCCTACCCCAAAGTCCTCCCTGACACAGAGGCTGCCCTCCATGAACTTGTCCTCACAGGGGTCATGTGTGGCAATCCTCACAGGGGTCATCATGATAATGGATCTATTACTTCTACACTAAATGTCCTAAGGCTGTTTGTGTTTTTGTTAAAAAGAAACAATAAAGTATACATAGCAAGCTCATAGCTCTTGAGTGTTAAGTCCTAAATAACAAATAGTGGTGACTACCAGCATTCTCAAATTTTCAATACCTTCAACAGAATGTCAGGACCATACTTCTTGCCAACACACACACCAATCCAGGACATTCTTCAGTCACTCTCAGTATGTTCCCATCCTGGGAATCTTCTCCTTCTAGGTCCCGTACCCAACTGTCTTTTGTGGAGCAATCAGGCATTGAGGTGGTCTATTAGGATAAGCCAAAAAGCAACTAAAAACTGACCCTTTATTTACTGACCGAGACAGTGCAAGCAACCAAGTCCAGAAAAATACTTTAGCCAAGGCCCCCAGCAGAGGGCCCAGCTGAGATACCCTAGAATGTGTATGGCCACGGCCGCTCTGGGGCTGGGTGGCCTAATCCTTGACTCAGCAACCTCCAGAAAATGGCTGCCTAATGCACCATTCCACTGATGAGTGGAGGGAAGCTTCCAAATAAGGCTTCCCACTGCAGTGGGGCCTGAGTGACCACACATAAGATGTTGACCAGGTGCAAGACTTCTTACCTTTCCTACCTTGTAGGTGCCTGGCCCAATCTTCCAATCATTTCAGGGTTCTCTACAAATATAACCTCATCACACATGCAAAGCTTGAACAAACATTTAAAATTTACATACTAACACTCTATCCCCTACAATGTACACTTTCATTGTACTTGTTATTATATATGTTATTCAGTTATTGCTGACTTACCAATAGAATATAAGCTACTTGATGGCAGGGAATTGAAAAGTGAACTTGTAACATACTCTTTAATACGATAATCTCAAATGGGAATATTCATAGTCTTTGAAAAACTGTTTTAGTAAAATTACTCATTCATATGTATAACTTAATAAACATCTCCAGATGTTAATTTTCAAGTAAAGTAGCTCAGGCAACTTATCTACCCAGTATTTTACAAGCACTTTTAACAATCATATTGTACAAAGGGGCCAATATGGGCAGCAGGAAGGGTCACGTATGAAGCTATTGTCATGAAGTTGTGGTTTTTTCCCAACCGAGGAGTCAGGAGGTTCCAAAGTAAACATTCAGTGTTGTATTGAAGAACCTGACTCTTATCTTTTCATGTCTGACAATCAACAACTTTTAAGCCTCATCTTTCCCTCTCCCCCTTCTGCTCCACATCTAAGCAAGCTGATGAAAAAGTCGAGGTGGTTTCTTTTGGCACCACCAGGAAGTTCAGTCTACATGTGTATACCATCACCATTAGCTCCACCTCCTAACAACCATAACAAGCCAAGCGAGTCACCTTCCCCTGCTCTCAGTGTCTCACCCCCTTGGTGTGTGGGGTCATTAATACTGGTCTCCAAACCAAATTCTGATGGGCATGCTGTTGTATGTTGAATTGTGACCTCAAGAAGACATGTGCAAGTTGTAACTGCCAGGATCTGTGAACGTGCCCTCGGTTGGAAACAGTATCATTCCAGACATAATCAGTTACAATCCTAAGGGTGGTCCCTGATCTCTTTACAACCGGTGTCCTTGTAAGAAAGAGACACAGAGAAACACACATGAAGACTGCCATGTGAAGACACAGACACAGAATGGAACGCCAAGATAGAAGCTAAGGAATACCAAAGATTATTGGCCAGAAGCCAGGAGACACACGGTCCTATTTCTCCCTTAGAATCCTCCAGAGGACCCAGCTCTGCTGATACTTTGAGTTTGGACTTCTAGCTTTCAAACTTGAGAATAATTTTCTGTGGTTTTCAACTACTCAGTTTATGACTTTTTTTAAGGTAGTCCTAAGGAAATCAGAGCATGCCCTGTTCCTGTGGATTGGCCAGTGGTGAAAACTAGCAAAAACGATTTGAGGTATGAACATAAAATGTTCCCTGTTTATGTCCACATAATAAAAACATTTCCATTGTGTATGTTCATTCTTAAGGGGAGACTCATGAACAGAGATCTTTTTATACGAATTCACTGAAACTAAAGGCTTCAAGGGACTTGCTTTGCTTTCCTCGTGTTTACAGAGCACATGCTCTGTATATATCATTGCTCCAGGTACATCCTCCTGTCACAACTCTTAAAAGAACCCCTTGTTTTATGGATTCTCTGTTTTCCCTGGAAGAACACAGGGAAGAAATGTCAATTAAATATATAAATTACAATGAAGTAGGTGGAAGAAAAAAAGAACAGGAGGAACACATTTAAATAACATGATTAGTGGAGCTTGTACTCTGAATAAATACTTGGCCATATACATTACCAGTTGCCACTGAGTCAACTTCGACTCATGGAGATTTCACGTCTGTCAGAGTACAACCATACTCCATAGGGTTGTCAATTGCTGAGTTTTCAGAAGTAGATCACCAGGCCTCCCTTCTAAGTTGCCTCTAGGTGGCCTTGAACACCCAACCTTTCAGTTACCAGCTGGGCAATTAACCATTGGCATCACTCAGGGATTCTGCCACAAACTTTACATCTATATAATTTTGCTCTATAATGGATTCTCTGATATCCAGTGAGAAGTGGGCCACATTTAAGGCTTTCCAACACTCGTTACATTTGTAAATTTTCTCTCCAGTGTGAATTCTCTCCTGAACCAACTGGTATGAATCCATGAATTCCTTACCACATCCATCACATCTGTAAGGTCCTTCTCCACTGTGAATTTGATGCTCCATAAAGCTTGCATTTTGGGCATAAGCCTGGCCATAGCCAATACGTTTGTACTGTTTCTCTCCAAAGTGAACTCTCTGATGGTACACGAGGCTTGAACTGTGAATAAAAGCCTGGCCACATTCATTACATTCATAAGGTTTCTCTCCGGTATGAATTCTATAATGAGTCGTAAGGCTTGAACTCTGAGTAAAGAGCTTGCCACATACATTACATTTATATGGCTTTTCTCCAGTATGGATTCTCTGATGTTTAGCGAAGACCGATCCCCACTTAAAAGTTTTGCTACATTGATTACATTTGTAAGGCTTCTCTCCAGTATGAATTCTCTGATGTTCCACAAGGCTTGAGTTATGGATAAAAGCCTTACCACAATAGCTACACTCATAAGGTTTCTCTCCAGTATGGATTCTGTAATGAGTTATGAGGCTTGAATTTTGACTGAAGAACTTGCCACACACATTACATTTAAATAATTTTTCTCCATTGTGGGTTCTCAGATGGCTGGTGAGATTTGAGCCCCACTTAAAGGCTTTGCCACAATCATTACATTTGTAAGGTTTCTCTCCAGTATGAATTCTCTGATGTTCTACGAGGCTTGAATTATTGATAAAAGCCTTCCCACACTCATTACATTTGTAAGGTTTCTCTCCAGTGTGAATTCGATGGTGTTTCACAAGGTTTGCTCTTTGGATAAAAGCCTTGCCACACACAATGCACTTGTATGGTTTCTCTCCGGTATGGATTCTCTGATGTTTGGTGAGAACAGAGCGCCACCTGAAGGCTTTCCCACACTCACTGCATTTGTAAGGTTTCTCCCCAGTATGAATTCTCAGATGATTGGCCAAGTTTGAATTCTGACGAAAGAACTTGCCACATACCTCACATTTATACGGTGTCTCTCTGGTATTATTAGTGATGTTTGATCCACACTTAAAGGCTTTGTTGCACTCATTACCGTTGTAAAGTGTCTGCACAGAATGAATTCCCTGAAGATTAGTAAACACAGATGTTTGGCTGAAATCCATTCCATCACATTCATTATAGTTGTAAAGCTGTTCTGTAATGTGAGTGTTCTGATGTTGTGTGAGTAACGAAGGATGCATGAAAACCTCCCCATATTCATTGAAGATGCTGGTTTTGATACTAGGAGGGCTTCTTCCCAACGGTGAGACTAAAGAACCAGTGTTGACAGACTTCTCCACTTGATTATATCCATACATTTTCTCTTCAGTTTGAAATGTGTGCTGCAGTTCAGGCAGTTGTGACTGAAAGCTGAGTCCAATCTTATTTTCAAAACATGTCATGTACTCATTTCCCTCATCTCTTCTAGTATGTGGGTCTCTTATAACAGTGAGATCTTTGTTAGAGGTTATGGTCACTCCATTGTCATTTCTTTCGCCATCACCCCACTGACTCTCAAACTCTGGCATGTTTTCCCTGACCTGCCTGGAGTCAAAATTCTCAAGGCCATAACTTTCGTGTCTTTCCGACATCACTGTCTCCAATAATTCTCCTTTATCAGCAATCTCTTTTGGTGGTAATTCCTCAATCCTACAGATAGGAGAGACATCTAGAAGACATAAAGCACCAGAGGATTCCAATTAGCTACAGTTAGAAAATATTTGATATGGAAAACAGTATGAGTCCAAAAACAACACTTGTAATGAACACAGCTGTGAAGCTTCTTAATCATAATCTTCAAATATTTGACACAGAATGAGTAGGAGTCTTTATTGAACAACGGGCGATTACATGGAATTCCAATTACTTTCAGGGAAGCCATTCGAATTATGTGATAGTCTATGTTTGGGTTGCTTAACACAATCCCTGCGATAAAAAAGACATGAAGCGAGGGATGCGCCTGTGACTGTACTCATCGAAATACAATTGTAACTGAATCAATGGAAATTAATGTGCACTTATTTGTAGTTAAGATGCTCTGGTGGCTTAGTGCCTAAGGCACTTGACTGCTAACCAGAAGGCTGGAAGTTCAAACCCACCAGCCACTCCGCAGAAGGAAGACTGGGCAATCTATTTCCATAAAGATTTACCACCTCAGAAACCCCAAAAAAACCCAAACTTACTGCCATCGAGTTGATCTTGACTCACAATGACCCCTTCTTGGGTTTCTGAGGTGGTATCCCTATGGAAGTACATTGCCCAGTCTTCCTTCCGAGGAGCAGCTGGTGGATTTGAACTGCCAGCCTTCTCAGAAACCCAAAGGGGGTTGGAATTGACTCTATGGCAGTGAGTTTGGTTTATTTATTTATTTTTAAATCTGAAATTGATAAACCGTGAATTTATAAATATCATTAGCAGAACGTAAGTAGCCTTGTTTTGGTTGTTGTCAGCCCCTACCAGGTTGGCCCCTGCCTGCCTGACTGCATGTCCAGGCGCCACAGAATCAGATCACTGTGATCCACAGGGTTTTCACTGGCAGTAGATCAGGTCGCCAGGCCTTTCTTCCTAGTCTGTCTTAGCACGAAAGCTCCATTGAAACCTGCCCAGTGTCACAGCAACACAGAAGAGTCCACTGACAAATGAGCGACAGCTGGGTTTGGGGTGCACTGGCTGAGAATCAAACCTGGGTCTCTAGCACGGAAGGCCAGAATTGTACACTGCACCATCACTGCCCTCCAAGCAAACACAGAGAGCAAATAACTATGACCAAGATGCAGAACGACTTACACAGGGGGCAGTGTTATTAGCAGCAGTTACGGGCAGAAACAAATGCCGGCAGCTCCACCGAAACCCCTGGAGGAGGCAGCTGTTGTACAGAGGGCTGGTCAGCAACAAAGCAGCCAGAAATGGCCAGAGAACAACAGGACAGCACTGGGATCTCCACTAACAAGGGACACCTAAGTGTTACACAAAATGTAGTTTAAAGGACAATGAGGAACAGATCCATCTGCATATGTTAAATGAAGAAAAGACCTCTAGAAATTGTGTGGAAAATGCAAGCACTATAAGCAACAGTGGCGAAAAAGGACATAAAGTGCAAGCAACTAGCTAAGGTCCTATGTGACAGGAGACATTTCAACAGTCGTGTTGAAATATGTATACAATACATATACTAATATGTACATGGTAAATCTGGAAAAAATAATTAATAATGCACTGGTATCAAAAAATAACAACTCCGTGAAATTTAAACCAACTCCAACTCAAACTTTTCTAAACTTAAGGCGTACTACAGATAAAACAATTTTATGTAAGAAATGACTGCAAATCAATTGAGTAGCTTCATTCATAGTCAGGTAGTAACTTAATAAAAAAGGTCTATTCTCAAGATACTCAAAATTCATGGGAAATGTGAGCCACTGAGTCAATTCTGACTCATAGTGACCCTGACTGGGTTTCCGAGGCTGTCAATCTTTACAGAAGTAGACTGCCCCATTTTCCTTCTGTGGAGCAGACAGTAGGTTTGAATCCTCAGCCTTCTGGTTAGCAGTCAAATGCCTTAGGCACTGTGCCACCAAAGCTCCCTGAGCTTTAACAGAAAACAAACCAAACTCACCACCGCCGAGTCGGTTCTGACTCACAGTGACCCCTTTGGGTTTCTGAGGTGATAGCTCCATGGAAGTAGATTGCCCAATCCTCCTTCCAAGGAGAGCTGGTGGGTTTGAACCACCAACTTTCTGGTTAAAGTGAAGCAAAAGTAAATGGGATAACTAGGATCACCTTTTCATAGAACCCTGTAGGTTTTTGAAAAACAATTGCTAAGCCGTAACCACAAATTCTCAAGAAGGCAATCCAGTAAAATAGAGAAATAATACTCATTCCTGGATCTCAGAGGCCAGCAAATGACAAACACACGACATACGTATACTAAGAATATCACCCAAATTACGTAACTGGTGATTAAATAAATCGCTCAACTTCAAAGCTTCTTCAGTATGACGTATCAAAATTACAGCAGCACACTCCTGGACGAAGAATGGAGAGTGAAGCAGTTTGGAGAACAGCCTCACACATGGGAGGCTGTGAAATTGGGCAACGTTCTCTGAGGATAACTTCCAACACCCTGGGTTGGTGGCACTGAGGGGTACCTGATCAAGGCCGCCATGTTGCCCTTGAAAGATATGTTGTGACCCTCCACAAAAATCAGAAACATCTGGAACGCTAATCAGTCAGGCACTCATGGCACTTTCTACCTCAGCACGTGGGGACATGCTCATTGTACCCAGCGGCCTCAATGGGCACATCTGTATATAGCAGGATGATACTGTAACATATGGATCAAACTGTTCTCCTTTTAAGAATTTCCTGTTACTCAGCAGCTCCTTCCATGGGAAATTCCAGTAGAACTTGTCCAGCAACAAAAGAGTAGGGTGCAAGAGAAAAGGAGGGAGAAATATCAGGCTCTAGGAACGTGTATTTCAAAAACAAGATTTAGAGACAAAAGCATACAAAATTAGGAGAATGCAAAGTCAAGAAGAGCCAAGGTTTATCTCCATTTCTAGGCTACACAGAGAGTCTGGAAAAAGGAAAATGTAAAATACTGGAGTTATGTGAAACCAAGAAACCAAACTCACTGCTGTGGAATCAGATCTGACTCATAGCGACCCCTCCTTGGGCTTCTGAAGCAGTATCTCTACGGAAGTAGATTGCCCAACCTTCCTTGTGAGGAGTGGCTGGTGGGTGAACTGCCAGCCTTCTGGTTAGCAGTCAAATGCCTTAGGCACTACACTACCAGAGCTGGAGTTATGTAAAGGGGTGCGAATGTGTGGAGTCCTTAATGAGGTCTTGTGTGCTCTGCCCATGCCTGAAAAACTGAGATATGGTCCCCATGTAGGACTGGAATGCAGAGAGAGGCCTTTTCTATCTACTATTTTAATAGTACTTCTGAGATGTACTCAGAAGATGCAATCCACTCCTACATTACACAGTGCGTGGAGTAGGAATTTGCAGGCCCATCCTGTCCTGCTCACAGTACCAACTGCAAGACTAAGATCACCCATGTTTGATGCCAAACTGTGTGGTAGGTAAAATACCCCATCCCACATGTTTCATTTTGAAATCTCGGCTTTTCTCCTTTGGCCAGTTCAAACCCTAGCTGTCCATTTTGCCCTTCTCTCTCATCTTTTGCCACTCAGGGTCACCCCTAGCCACTCAGAGTCAAGAACAGGGGTCCACAACACTCCTGGTACTTCAGACCTGCTGGCCACACCATTCCTTTTAAGTCTAATAATTCACTGGTATAACCCACAGCTTACTGGAAATATTATACTTGTGGTAAAGATATGTATAAAGGTGAGGTCTGGGAGGGGTTTCAGCACAGAGCCTAAATACCTCAAGGGGTAATGCTTACCCTTCCCAACAGTGATCAACCAGGAGATTCTTCCAAAAGGAAATTCTCCATGACCTCTCTCCTCTGGGCCCCATCTAGCTTTACCAGCTGAAGGTCGCCTCACACTCTCCTGGTCAGGCACCACCACCTGCCCTCTCTCTGCTGTGTGCTACCATTGTTTCTGGGCTGGCCCAGCTTGTACAGCTCTTACTGCTCTTCATCGGGGTAGCAGCTCTCAACTGAGCCTGGGAAGGCTTTAAGCACAGGACTTCCATGTCCCAAAGGAGGAGCCACTCCTTCCGAATCTTGTCAAGCAGGAAGCCCCATCTGAGCCTATGTGTTTCGAGGGTTTTATAAGCCAGTCTGAGTACTCCAGGAATTCCTGGGTGGTGCAAACAATTAAGCACTCAGCTACCAGCTGAGAGACTGGCAGTTGGAACCCACCCAGAGGCGCCTCCTAAACCAGGCCTGGCGATCTGCTTCCAGAATTTCACAGCCTTGAGAACACCACGGAACAGTCTACTCTGCACACACAGGGTGACCATGAGCTAGAATCCACTGGAACATGATGAACAATGACAACCATGTGCTCCGGGAGTGCTCCTCGTCAGTTACTGGGCAGGCTTCCTAGCCAGGACACGGCAAACGAAACAAATTTTCAGGGGCAGTCAATTACTCAAGTGTTAGGGCCTTAACTATGCCCTCCCAAAATATGGGCTCTAAATCCAAACCCCTAGGCCTGCAGTTAGAATCCCATTAGGGAGCAGGTTTTCTGTGTTACGGTAATCAGACAGTATTAGTGTAGAGTGTGTCTTAAGTCAACCTCTTCTGAGATATAAAAGAGCAGATTAAACAAACAAGGAAGAAAGCACAAGGAGAAAGAGGGGAGGACAGCTGTCAGGTCACATGAAGATCACCAAGAACAGAAGACGAGACAAAGACCTGCACCCAGAGAGCCTGTCCCGGGAGATGGTGCCCTGCATTTGGATCTCTAGCCTCCTGAACAGTGAGAAAATGAATCAGTCTGTTCAAGCCAACCATTGTGGTATTTCTGTTATAGTGGCCCTTGATAACTGTTAGGACACCTGGGAAACCCTCTAAGCAGTTTTCCAAAAAAAAGAAAAAACAATTAAGGTAAAAGACCACACAAGAAAGTTCACTGCACCACAGGTGTTGGTCTGCCACGAAAGAACTGAGAACAAAGACCACACAGCACAATTCCATACCTCACACATACACCTCTGAAGTCTGTAAAAGCAGAATGAAGAAATAATGAAGAAATAACTGAGAGTCCTACACAGACAGAGATGGCTTAAGATGGCACCATGACATTTTCTGGGACTCAAGATGCAATGAGTAGCCAGTATTTTCCCATCTCATGAGAAAGTTTCCCAGTTAGATAGAACAAGAAAGGGATGTGGCCACATCTTGGGCCAGGGCAATGGAAGCTGCTCCGACCTGTAGGAACCGAGCACTGAGATCAAACACAGAGGAGAAACCAAAAGGGCAAGAAGACCCCTTTGAAAGAGCCCTCCTCATCCCTCTCAAAGCCAGTCACCTCGCCCTGGTAAGTGGAAGCATGAACGCTTACACGTCTGAAGAGTGTGATTAGTAGAGGTGAGGGGGAGGGGGAGGAAGCAACAATTCTGTTGAGAGTTCACAAACGATAAACTTCTGTTTTTTCATTCAAGGAGTTTCCCAAACAATATTGAGTGTTACGGATTCTTCACTACCTACCTGAGCCCCCTACTTATGCATATGTTTTCATACATTCCCACCTACCTGGGTTTTTCACTATTGTCACCTTGTTCTCCACAGCCCAGGGCTCTGTCCTGTTCTTCAACATGGAGAGAAGATTCATCTCAGAGAGAGAGACTTCTGTTCGTAAGAGAAAAGAAATAAGATGGGCTGCAGCTTTTCTAGAATACAGTTCAAGCTGAGGACACCACCGATGTCTCCAGAAAAACAGCCTAAAAACTCACGCACTGACGGCTTTCTTCAGGATGCTGAGGGCATGTGTTAACAGGCGGATACCTAGCTCTCCTCCAGGAACCACAAATCCAAAGCACAGGAGGAAAAGGCAGACATGTGCATACAATGAAATGGAGCCTCATGGCTTTCTGGTTGCTCAAGCCTAGAACCAGTGTTAGTGTGAAGTGTGAAGGTCATGGGAAGCGAGGGAAGGCTAAAGCTCAGATGCTGCGTTAGGAAGCTCCTCACTTCTGAATCTCCTGCAGTCCTTTCTTAAGAACCAAGATTTCAAAGTCCATCAAACATGGCAGGGCCCTCCAATGACTCACATGAGGAAGTCCAAAACACACGAGGGGCAGAGCCTGACGTCTGGAGGGAAGCGGTACTCACCAAGGGAGAGCAGGTTCCTGTAGTTCTCCAACATCACGTCCCAGTACAGAACCTTCTGAGCAGGGGTCAGACAGTCCCACTCCTCCTGAGAGAACTCTACGGCCACATCCCTGAACGTCAACAGTTCCTGTAACGAAAGACACGTCACATGTGGATACGGGAGAGGTTTCCCTGCCACACAAAACAAGAGAGGTAAAAGGATCAGTTAGGTCGATGAGAGGGTTCTGACCGATCCACATCAGGGAATACTGAGCAGGTTATATGTCCCAAATTGTTTTTTAGGAAGAAAGGCCTGGCAACCTACTTCCAAAAATCATCCCATGAGAACCCCAAAATCACAACAGTCCGATCCCCCAGAGTCTCATTCCATTGTATGTGGGGTCACCACAAGGGGCCAGCTCGATGGCAGCTAACGACAATTTTGTTCCCGTATACTTTTCCATTCAAAGCAAACCAAACCTACTGCCGTCAAGTCGACTCTGACTCATAGAGAACTCCACCGGGTTTCCAAGGTGGTAAAACCTTTCTGGAAGTTGACTGCCTCAGCTTCTTTCTGCAGAGCGGCTGGTGGGTTTGAACCGCCAACCTTCTGGTGAGCAGTCAGATGCCTCAGGCACCGCACCACCGGAGCACCTTACTTTTCCATCAGAGGGCATGAAATCCGTTAAATCATTGGGGATTATCTTTTTGTAGGACAAGAAAAGAAATATACAGATGAAGAAAATTCCAACAGGGTCATTTTTATCGACGTGCTACCAAGTGACACCAGTTTTTCTGATGAGTGAAGGTGGGAGTGGTGTGTTCAGGACAATAAAGTCCACTGTGGCTTCAGTCAAGTCAAAATCCTGAAGATGCTGGTAACAGTGGACACTGTACCACACACTAACCGTTACTCTAACCACCTGACATGGACTAACTTACAGAACAACATAACAACGCATGAGAAACACACTTGTCCCCATCTCACGGAGGAGAGGATGGTGTCAGAGTGACTAAAAACTACACATCAGGTCAAACAGCTAGTAAGTGGTACAGTAAGCACCCCAGGTGTTGGGGCTTGAAAACTGCACCCAAAGAATCCAAAAAGTAACAGATAAAGCATTAAAAAGAGGTTGACTTGGAAAGTACAGGCATGTGAGTTAAACATTTACCTCAAGTAGACACACGCCATGGAGAGAACAATCATGGGAGAAGGAAGGGCTGCTTATGCACAGGGAGATAGCTCAGGGTGCAGAAGGGTATGAAGGGATGGACACTGGGAGGAGGTAACTATGGGGAGGAAGTGGGAGGGGAGCTGCTGCATTGTAAATTTTGGTCAATGTCATGAGACAATGTATATGTGAACTGCTGTATGAAAAGTGAATTTACTCTGTAAATCTTCACCCAAATCCTAATTTTAAAAATAAAAAAGAGGTTGACTTGGACAGATTGGGAGAACAATGTGGAACAAAATGCAAAATCATGGGGAAAAAAAAAAGGGACCAAGTTTGCTGGTCTGATAGAGCCTGGTGGAACCCCTGAGACTATGGCCCTTAGCTGCCCTTCAGGTCTGTAAGTGAACCCACACCTGTGGCTTCCAGCCAAACCAAAGACAGGGATATGAGCTGAGCATTTATATTAGGTAGATACTCTCCTTGGAGAGATCAATCCTGGGAGAATAGAAGGGTTGTGTGTGCTCGGGGGGCAGCAGTGCGTGGAGAGCTGTTGCACTGTGGAAGATTACAGTCAATGTCATGAGACAAAGTGTATGTGGATCCTGTATGGAAGATGAATTTGCTCTGTAAACTTTCACCCAAATCACAATAAAATTAAAAAAAAAATAGAGGTTGACTGAGGGAAACTGGAAAGAAGATCTGAAACAAGTCTGAGGTCATCAACATAAATCTGGATAAAAAGTCATCATAAACATGTGCACACACATGCAAATGTATAATCTATCAATACACTTCGTGGTGCAATGAATTACTTGGTATGGCTTTTCTAAGCCATAGTCTTTGTAACTCCTGCCGGACTACTGGGTAGGACCATGCAAATAAGGTGTGTAGAATTCTAATGCTAGGATTGGTTAGTTTTGTCACCCTGTAAGGCTTAAAATGAGCCCTCCCAGAAGCAGAGAGGGGATCTCACCGCCAGCAAGAAAGAAGAGCTGGAGGTGAAGTGGAGCGCATTCTTGGACCCGAAATCTCTGCGCTGGACCTCCCCGGCTGAGACACTCTGGCAGAGAGACAGTGGCAGTGGAACCAAGAGACATGAGCCAGAGTGGCAGGCTTACCTGGCCCACAGAGGCAGAGGCCAGGCCAAGAGGCCAAGGGCCAGACAAGTGTGTCTGAGGGCCCAGCAGAGAGGAGACTATCCTGACTGAAGAACTGTATCCTGAGTGCATTCCTGAACCTGAATTGTAACCTGTTACTTCCCTAATAAACCCCATAATCATGAGTATTGTCTGTGAGTTCTGTGTGGCTATTGCAACGAATTATCGAATCCAGCAGTGAAGCAGTGAGTACCACGGGAGGGATAGTTGGTATCAAAGTTGGTTAAGAGGCTGAAGGGTGGTAGCATGTCTGGCCTCATAGGAATACGCCTCAGGCGATTCTGAGATGCTGCCTCCAAGTCTTTTTTGCACTCTTTATACTACTAACCTGCTACTGTCACACAATTTAAAAAACAAACAAACTCACTGCTGTTGAGTCAGGTCCAACTCACAGCGACCACTCCTTGGGTTTCCCAGGTGGTATCTCTGTGGAAGTAGATTGCCCAATCTTCCTTCCAAAGAGTGGCTGGTGGATTTGAACCGCCAACCTTCTGATTAGCAGTCAAATGCCTTAGGCACTACGCCACCAGAGCACCCCTGCTAATGTTACAGTGTAAAAAATATTTAACACAATGAAATAGATTTAAGACATTATTTTTAGGTGTTAAAAAATACAAAACTACTTGTTAGATGATGATGTCTTGGCCTGCACGTACGCACATGTGCACATGCATATACATAGACAGAGTAGCTGACATCAGAAGACTTGTCTATGAATGACTTCTTTTGGATAACTTTTCTTCATCTACCATTTTTGCTCATGCGTACATCTCACCATTTCTGGTGCAAGAAAACGGATAAAGGCTTCTTAGGCTGTTTGTGAACATTATGTTACCTTGAGTTATCAAAAACACAAAAATGAAAACAAATACAGAAAACTAAGTCAAATCTCAATTGAATACACATGGAAAAACAGAAATACAATTTTTATTCATTTAAATTTAGGTATCTGGACATTAAAACAAATGAATGTAGTTTATTCTACTAATAAAAGAGTCATTCAAGCCTAGAAAATTTATTGACATTCTACATTAATTTAAGGGACTCAAAAAGAAAAAATAGTTATCACAGCAGCTGACCCTTGAAGAAATTAGTGGATAATTAAAAATCATGCCAAGTAGCAAACTAAATAGAAACCGAATTGTTACTAAGCAAGAAAATTTCAGCCACGCTCATGATCAGCCACAAGGGAAGCAATGGCACTAAAGGTAAGGCGGGGAGGCGCGGGGCAGTCACTCCCCACAGAACGGGAAGGAAGCCCGCTGGGGCCATGCAGATGGCAAAGGAATAAAAGGACAACCAAAGAGCTGGAACTGTCATACTTTTAAAAAGAATGTATTTTAACTGTAAGAACTAGTAACAATATACTGAAAACAATCTTTTTCATAAGCAGCAACAACAATAACAAAAAGAAACCCAACGAAACCTGTTGCCAAGGAGTCGATTCTGACTCAGAGCAACCCTACAGGACACGGGAGAACTGCCTCACAGGGAGTGGCTGGTGGGTTCAAAGCACTGACCTTTTGGTTGGCAGCCAAGCACTTAACCACTGTGCCACCAAGGAGCCTCTTCTCTGTAGTAGGAGTAGTTAACCAACGACTCATACCCAGAGAACCTCTAGAAACAGCCAGTGTTTCCATGAAAAATACATCACCACATCTATGTACCTTTCCGTGTAAAGAAATTATAAACTTCACTGAAGGATACAGGAGCTCTGGTGGCATAGAGGGATGGTTAGTGACTCAAACCCACCAGCCGCTCCGCAGGAGGAAGACGAGGCACTCTACTATAAAGATTTACCACCTTGGAAACCCAACGGGGGTCGCTGTAAGTGGGAATTGATTTTAATGGTTTTCTTCTTTTTTATTTTGGTGAAAAGGTTTATCAATTTTCTTTGCGGTTACCTTGTAATCTTCCCAAGTTTAACATAGTTCCTTCTATCTTGACACTCCCTTAACAACGTCTCCATTTGAAAATTCCGCAGCTACAGCATTTATTCCCTTCCCCCTCCTCCTGGCTTCTCTGGCAAGATCAGTCTTGAAAGGTCAATTCTGAGTGTGGACAATGTGCTGTTAAAAGGTAGGACTAATATATCCCTTCCCTGTGGGAGGGAGCTCTGGTAGCGTAGTGCCTAAGGCACTGGACTGCTAACCAGAGGGCTGGCGGTTCAAACCTACCAGCCACTCCTCGGAAGGAAGGTTGGGCAATCTACTTCCATAGTGACACTGCCTTGGAAACCCAGGGAGGGGTCACTATGAGTTGGGTTATGTGCTCGATGGCACATAACAACAACAACAACAACAACAACCCTGTTGGATACCAAGAGCTGCTCCAAGAGAGAAAGATATGGCGGTCGGCTTCTCTAAAGATTACCAGACAAAAAAAAACAACCAAACTCACTGCTGTCAAGTCAATTCGACTCATAGCGACCCCTCCCTGGGTTTCCGAGGTGGTATCTCTACACAAGTAGATTGCCCAACCTTCCTTCCGAGGAGTGGCTGGTGAGTTTGAACCACCAGCCTTCTGGTTAATGCTATGGGTCACTTCTACTCAGTCCTCTAGGGGCGCTGTGAGTCAGAATCAACGACAAATGGGTTTGGTTTGGGCTTTGCTTCTGTAAAGACTGACAGCCTTGGAAACCTGATGGGGCAGTTCCACTCTGTCCTACAGGGTTGCTATGAGTTGGAATAGACGTGACAGCAGTGGGTTCTACTGAAGGTTGTAATAAAGACATGATCTAAGTCTGATCAACCCAATTCCTACGGAAACATGTAGTAACTTAAGAGACCCGAGACTGCAGAAATGCAGGGCAAGCCATACTCAAGAGAAATGTGGGATTTCAAGAAAACTCTGCCCAACTGAAGCCCAGTCAGCTGTCCTAGGGAGACGAAGCCCACCCTTTCTTTGATTACTCAAGAAATATCAGTCAACTCAGGGCTATCAATTACCCAGCCAGGGCAAAGAGACAAGTAACAAACCATCCAGTTGTTTACAACTGACCCAGGAAATGCCCACCAAGTCCGGAAATCCCTCCCAAAGGTTTTTAATCCCACGGAACCAGGGCACAGGGCCACAGGAGGGGCTGACTGTAGCACACCCCCGCCGCCACTGGCGTCCATCAGTGAATTCTCCATTCCATGCACATCACGCACAGTTCGGAACCAGAAACATACTGAGGCACCTGCTTAGTTAGCTTCAAGAGAATTGGGCAGAGCAGGTGTTTCCCTCTCAGGCTCCGTTTCTGCGACTCGCCAGCTGTTCTGCCCACGAACATGGCACACTCATGCAGCGCTCTTAGCGCCGTGGAGCCCTGACAGCACAGTGGGTGAGTGCCAGTCTGTAAACTAAAAGGGAGTGGTTTGGACTATCAGCCAACCCACGGGAGGAAGATCTGGCAATGTGCTCCCTTAAAGATTACAGCCTAGGAAACCCGACAGGGGCAATTCTGGCCTGTCCTATGGGGTCACTGAGTCGGACTCAATTCAATGGTGGTTTGACTTGCTTCTACACTGGTCCACAGGGAGCTGACGGGGCATCCAGATGCGGCCCCTAAACCCTCCCTGCCGCCCGCCTTCACGGCCCCCGTAAGGCCCACTCCCCATCTCCCATGTCCCTGGGTCACAGGGAGGTGGACTCTGTGTGGAGGGGACAGGGAATGAGGGAAGGCCTGGGTGAGTGTGAGTGACCGTGTCAGGCAGGACCTGTCAGAGTCAGAGGAGACAAGCACACTCTCAGGACAGCATTTCGGGGAGGAGGGCAGAGAGCCACCAACCGAGAATACGACAGTTACCTGGGACAGAGCCATTCTGGACGCCTCTTTCCTTCCTCCTCCTCCCGGCTTCTTTCTCAGGCAAGCCCAGTCTCGAGAAGTTGATCCTGAGTGTGGACAATGTGCTGTTAAGTGGTTAGAATCAATATATCCCGACTCTGTGCACAGCCACACACACAGGGAGGACCTCACCATGAGGAAGGACAGTCCCAGGAGGGACACAGCGACAATACTGCCTACACAGAGACCAACAGGTGAGTGTACCACCCTCCCCTCCTGGGGAAGCCACCCTCAGCTGCAGCGGGCCTCTGGGCTGGACTGAGCTCCCCTTCGGGTCGCGGACCAGCCTGACCCCACACCCCACGCAGAGCACCGCCCCGCAGCTCCCCCTGGATCGCACTGTGGTCTCAGCTTCAGCAAATGACGACCCAGAGCGTTAGTGCTCGGTACTGGAATCCCCCAGGGCACAGTGACCACTCTTGAGCCTGGGCCCACATTCCTGTGTCTGGACCCCATATTCTTGAGCCTGGGCCGCACGTTCATGAGTGTGGGTCCCGCCCCGACTATCTCAAGGGCACCTCTGGGGAGAGAGCACAAGTGATGTGTTGGAAACACCTCAGCAATCCTGTGTGGAGCCAGGACTGAGTCCCCTCGCAGGAGGGGAGCCCGGCTCAGCGCTCCCCACCGGCCTTACTAACACCTGCATCCCGACAGTGGGGGGCTGCAGCAGAGAGGGGGAGCAGAGCGGGCAGCAGGGGCGGGGGTGAGGGAGCAGCTGGCCCTTAAATGCAGGCCGTGGAAGACGCTCTGAGGAGGTGAGATCAGAGGAAAGAGCTGAGGGAGGCAGGTGTCTGCAGGTGCACAGGAGGGGGCAGAGGTCAAGGTGGGGGAGCTGTCCGCGTGAGGCCCAGGTGTGGGGGGCAGAGGCCTGTGGGGCTGAAGCGTGATCAGGCCGCAGAAACAAGGATGAGGCCAGAGGGGTCTTGGGGAAGCAGAGCGGGAAGGGCCAGGGGCTTCACACATCTTCCACCCACGCCCCCAAATTTCAGAAACCGTGCATCCCCTCGAATCACATCGATGTATTTACTCCTAAGTTAGAACACTTACAAATGATAGACAAATGATCCTGTACAGTTTAAAGGCTTACCGAGCTGTTCCCCTGAGCCCCAGGAAGTTCAGGGCCGCCCTGCACGGCACCGTGGACACCTTCAGGGACGATCAGAGGGGCAGTGGTGCAGACGCCCGTGAGAGGCCCCAGCCGAGTCGTTGAGAAGCACCTGGACACATGAGACTGGAGTTCCGGGCAGAGGTCTGGCTGGAGGTGAAATCGGGAGACGGAGGTGTTAAAGCCTGAGATGAGAGGAGAAGGAAAGGCCATGGGCACGGACAGAGAAGAGAAGGGCTCCGAGGACTGCGTCCTGGGCACACCCAGGCTCAGAGACCAGGCGGTTCAGGAGACACGAGAGGAGGAACCTGGGATGTGATCAGGGAGGAGAGAGAAAACTGAAACCAACACACAGAGCGGGTGACACTCAAAGACTGCTGTCACGTCCTGACAGCCAAGAAAAAGGTGCAGAGAGCGGTCAACTGGGCGACAGGCTGCTGAGGGCGGGAGGGCCAGTGCTGGACAGGAGCTCCGAGCCCATTCCTCCACGGGGAACTGAGGGCTTGGTCGGAACAAGGGTCCACGCCACCTTGCCCGTCCTTCCCCGCTCAGAGAAAGGACAAGAGGGACCTCAGGAGAACGTCTACTCAGTAGCTCCCAGCTCCTATGTGAACAGCTCATGTAAAGGAGGCAAACGGGATATGATTCTCATTGGGTCAAGTGGGTTTTGTCTGTTAATACAAAACATGGTGGACGTCCTGCAAAGTGCGCACTGAAATGGTCTAACATTATTCACAGTAAAATCTGTGAAAGCCAGAATGTGTGTCAGAGGAGGACAACTCAAATATTTCCTACTAAAATGAACAGTAGAAAAGTGGTAGCACTGCATCTTGTCAAAAGCGAAAACTCTTGAGACCCTGAAAAGCAAGGCCAAAACCAAATCAAACTCATTGCGATAGATCTGATTCCAACTTATAGCGACCCTGTAGGACAGAATGGAACTGCCCCACAGGATTTCAAGGCTATCAATCCTTACCAAGACAAAGCCCAAACCTAACCCCCTGTCATCAAGTCCATTCTGACTCACAGTGCTCCTAGAGGACAGAGAAGAACTGCTCCATTGGGTTTCCAAGGCTGCAATCTTCACAGAAGCAAAGCCCAAGTCAAACCCACTGACACAGAATTGTTTCCAACTCACAGCAACCCTAGAAGACAGAGTAGAACTGCCACATAGGATTTTTAGGGCTGTCAATCTTTAGGGAAGCCAACTGCTTCATCTTTTTCCAGGGACAGCTGGTGGGTTCAAACTGCTGACCTTCTGGTTAGCACCCAAATGCATTAACCACTGCACTACCAAAGAGCTTTGAGAAAACAAACACACAAACAAAAACCAGAAAATAAGGCAGTCGTGTTGAGTGCGGGCTCTCTCAGGTGTCAAGCTACTAGGTACTGTTTCCAATACATGCGCCAGAGAGCATGCAGTTCTCCGTGATTTGACCCAGACAAAGAAAATTTAAAAGGGAAAACAATTTGGAAACTAAAAAAGAAAATGAATGGAGTCCGGGGAAAAGTTAAAAAAAAAAAAAAGGAGTCTGTATCACATTTAGAAAGAATGACATGACAGTACGTTTTACCATGTATATTTCTCAACACCAACAAATGACAGGAGCTCATTATGGGATGCCACAAAATTTACTTCCTAACTTAATGAACAAAGATGCAATTTAATAAACACAGATTTCTTTCAATAACTTGTGCTAGCACACTGAATTACTACAATAAAACACATCCATCAAAAAAACAAAACTGTTACTATTCCATCACAAGGCAACATATAGCGACAGTCAGGACTTTCTTGCCCCATTTTACCTCCCATTCCAGCAGGAACCCAGGGTGAGGGAGGAGGGTGACCCGGAAGTGATTGAGCCAAGTCACTACCCTCTGGCTCAACAGAGATTGCCAAGGAAGTCACGTTCTGATGCCAGTCAGGAAGAAACGCACAACCTTACAGAAGCGAGCTTTGCTGTTCTCATTCCCATCATCATGATTTAAACAAATTTTAAATTAACCAGGTTATAGAACCACAAATAAATACACCGCGACGTAATCATGTACCCCATCAACTCCCCACTCACCCGGATCTGGGTCTCCCTCTCGCCCTCCCCATATGCCGTTCGTCTCCGGGGCTGGCTTTCCTTCCTCGCCTTTTCCTCTTCCGTTCCCCCTCGGTTTGCGTTCATCCCCCGCCCGTCCTGCAGTGCCTCCCCTTCTCCCTCGGCCCCCTCCACCTGTTCACCCCCAACCCTGTCTCACCCCGTGTTGCTTTCCCCCAGCCTCTGAATGTCCCCCTCTCCGTGCAGTTCCGCTCCTCTCCCTCCAACGGTTGCCCTGCCCTCACTCTCCGGGCGCCCAGCTCCGAGTTCCCTCCCTCCGATCTGTGTCACCCTTGCGCCCCCTCTGTCCCTGCACCCAGTCGCTCTGTCGGCCATGCCTCCTATTCTTCCATCTCCCTCCAATGCCTCTACGTGTGGTGCCCCCACTTCTACTGACTAAGCCCCCTCCGATGTTACTCCTCGTCACTCATCAAAGATCCCCATTTTCTCCTCGTTTTCTCTCCTCCCGGCTGCTCTGGCTTCGTTCCCGCGCCGTCTCTGCGCAGGCCCCTCGCGGCCTCCAGTCGGCGTGGGGCCCGCGCTCCCTCCGCCGTCTTTGCTCCGCTCGTGTTTCTAGTTCTCCCGCAGCTGCTCGGTCCCCGACCCCCTCGTCCCCAGGGATGGGCTGGGCCGCGGGGTGGGACCGGGGGCGGAAGGACGCGGGCCGTCACCGGGCGGACCCGGGTCCCCTCTCCCTGCGAAGGGGAGGCAGAGGAGCGGCAGGCCCCGGGTTGAGGACGACGAAAGGACGGGGTCTCGGGACAGAAACGGCGTCTTGGAGTCCCGGACCGGGGAGAGGACGGGCGCCCCGGGGCTGCCCTTGAGGGGAGAAACGGGGGCGCGAAGGCCGGGAAACCATCTCCGACCGAGGGCTTTACCTGGCGCAGGGCGGCCTGGGATCGGGGAGGGTTTTAAGCAGGAAAACGACGCGTCAGGCGGCGTCCACACGGCCTGAGTGCAGAAAGGCCCGGGCGGGACCCGCCTCAGCGCGATTTTACACCGAAACCGTCGCGGACCCCCGGGCGGTGGCGGAGCGACCAGCGCTCGGAACGTCTCACGGCCGCCGGGTTACTTTAACGTCCTGAGAGACCCCTGGGCCCCCTTGCAGTGGACAGGCGAATATTTAAACCAGAAATTCACTCACCTGCTACGACTTTCCCTCCGTCCCAAAGCTTCCGCGTCTGGAAGCAATTGAGCATGCCGACGGCCTGAGGTGACGTAGCGGCGCGCGGGCGGGGCCTGGGCGGAGCCAAACGGCAACAACCAAAACAAAAGAACGGTGCCAATCAACTCAGTTCCAGTCGTGGCGCCCCCGCGTGCCGCAGAGAACTGCTCTCTGTAAGGTTTTTATAGGAGCTCTGGTAGCATAGTGGCTGAGGCACTTGACTGCTAACTAGAGGGC